CTGGGGATATAGTCGGTTCTGATGATACACGTAATGTACTGGGGATATAGTCGGTTCTGATGATACACGTGGTGTACTGGGGATATAGTCGGCTCTGAGGATACACATGATGTACTTGGGATATAGTCGGTTCTGATGATACACGTAATGTACTGGGGATATAGTCGGTTCTGATGATACACGTGGTGTACTGGGGATATAGTCGGCTCTGATGATACACGTAATGTACTGGGGATATAGTCGGCTCTCATGATACACGTGGTGTACTGGGGATATTGTCGGCTCTCATGATACACGTGGTGTACTGGGGATATTGTCGGTTCTGATGACACACGTGGTGTACTGGGGATATAGTCGGTTCTGATGACACACGTGGTGTACTGGGGATATAGTCGGTTCTGATGATACACGTGGTGTACTGGGGATATAGTCGGCTCTGATGATACACGTGATGTACTGGGGATATAGTCGGTTCTGATGATACACGTGGTGTACTGGGGATATAGTCGGCTCTGATGATACACGTGGTGTACTGGGGATATAGTCGGCTCTGATGATACACGTGGTGTACTGGGGATATAGTCGGCTCTGATGATACACGTGATGTATTGGGGACGTTTTCGACTCTGATGATACACGTGGTGTACTGAGGATATAGTCGGCTCTGATGATACACGTGGTGTACTGGGGATATAGTCGGTTCTGATGATACACGTGGTGTACTGGGGATATTGTCGGCTGTGATGATACACGTGGTGTACTGGGGACATAGTGACTGATGAAACTGGGGACTGGGGACTGATGATACATCTGACCTCGTCGTCTAAATTATTCGCTATGTAGACTTGCGTCCCCTAAACGTGCCAGAAACCGGTGGTCATTTGTTCAAATCCCTAATAATATTTCCAGGTTTGTCATGACCAGCATCATACTAGCGTGGGCTTGTGTCAGCTTGTGCTCGTGTGTGTCACCAACAACGTAAACCTGCACCAACTCAGCCTCACACCTCGTCAGGCTGACACGCCAAGAAATACGGTTGAAAGCAGCCTTAAACCCAACTCACTTCAAATAACAATGGGGGCGGTCGGGTAGCCTAGTGGTTAAAGCGTTTGCTCGTCACGCCGAAGACCCGGGTTCGATTTCCGATATTTCTGGTGTCCCCCGCCGTGATATTGCTGGAATATTGCTAAAAGCGGCGTAAAACCATACTCACTCACTCACTCAAATAACAGTGATGAATGAAAAGTTCTCGTTACAGGTGAAACTTTATGAACTAATACAGATCCAAGTGACACGGTTATACAACGGATATCATTCGCACTAAGTAGTTCCCTACCAATAACATACAATCCTGGTTAACTGACAGTTCTTCTCTGCTTTTTCATCACGCGACCGAGACACATTATTCCCGTCTCCAATTCACCTAATGCAAATCGCTCCAGTTCCATGTAGTGTAAAATGAGGTGTTGCCATCGACGGAGGATAGCCATGCCCTGGTAGAATGAGATCGCTTACAACTGGTCCATTTTACAACAGAAGTGAGCTGATTGCTTTAACACACAGTAGCGGGGACGCCATACCTATCTATATGAACTAACTAGCTATAGAAAATGACAATACCGTCCTCCCGCGAGCGTCAGTAACGACAACAGGCGACATCGTCGCAGTGTCTCGTCAAATCACCGTTACACAACCGTGGGTCTGTACCTTGACGATAGAGGTATTAAGTGGCGTCTCCGTGAGATATATTCTATACCTTAACTCAATTATTTAGCGAGTTGCCCGATAAAGCGACAATTAAGTATCTGAAGCTGCCACACCAAATTACATCGTATCAAACTGGCCTAACTAAGTCTTAATGGGATCTTCAGGCTCTCGCTAATCGGCGACACGGTATCATTTGCTTATCACTTCCGTGGTCTTCTGGCCTTTATTACTTATTTTGACCACCACAGATGACAGAATTGCCGTCTTCGTGACGGCTAAAGATTGCACAATTAATGTCGGTTCTAAAGGCGGACATGTTATATACCCCAGATGTTTTGTTTGATCACTCCTACGTAAATAGTTGAGTTCTTCAGCTCCGATATGTCTCGCGAGAAGTGATTATGTCCTCCAGTAGAACACGGTACATCAGGACTTTGTCAATGTCCAAGTTTAACGCCCATCATCCGATGCATAAATGTTGTTTTGTTTTTAAAAAAAAATAAAAAAATCTTTTCACGTAAAGGCTGTTAAAATAATTCGTATCAGGGTTTACTCAAAAAGCAGAATCGGTGTCTGGCCATGGAGAATGTTCTGACAATGTGTTGTTGGTCAAACAAATTTTTTGGCTCTTTTGTTATGAGAGAGTAAAACATAGTTTTTCTCAAACGGAAATCCCAGCCCGGAATCCACCATCATCCACCTTCTCATATTAAATGGTTGGTCCCCAATTGAAAATTGATTTTGACGATATTTACAAAAACGAAATAACAGTTAATAGAATCTAATAAATCCTATAAAATTGAAATTCCAAATTTTGACAATGTAAAAGTGGATTCATATTTATCTGAAATCAATATGATACTCAAAGATGATAAAATCTATATAAAAAATAAATTTATGAAGGAACGGTAAGGGGCAAGAGCGGTGAAGGATAAACAGGAGTTTCTGCAACGTTGTTGGAAGGGTTGGAAGACGTCACAAACGTCGGTCCATTTCATCCCAGACATGTTCGATTGGTGACAGATCAGGGGATCTAGCAGAACAGGGTACACACAGAGAATCTCACCCGAGTGTCATTTGATATCAAATATATCAACACGTGTTGACAAAAGTGGAAAAATTCCGAGGCTTGCCGAGGATTTTTGCCACTTTTATCAACGAGTGTTGATATATTTGATATCAAAAGACACGAGGGTGAGATTTTATTTATCATCCAACATCATTCTTCCAACTTTTTCAATTTGTAGACTGTAATTAGCAGTGTCTTCAGTGTAAAAAGTACTGCTAACAGCTTCAGTAGCAGAGCCATTAGTGATGTCATTTGATTGTGACGTCATGGTAACAGTGACGTCACAATGGTCTGCAAAGCATTGTGATGTATTTTCATTGATCTAATCCAAGCGATATCTCCTGTGGGAGCCAGTTTTGGATGATAAATAAACATTGTTCTGGGTTAGATGTTACTGCACAACACTTGCAACACGTGGTCTGTTGTGAAAAATGTTAAAACGTTAAAACGGCCCTTTGCAAACTCTAACCCCGCTTTCTTGCAGAAGTCAAATCACAATCAATCACAATCCTTCCAGCCTCCTGTAGCCGTTATTCCACCCAAGATCATAACGTCACCACCTCCACAGCAATCGCCTTCAAGAAGACATGGCGTGACGTAGCGTTCGACTTGACGTCTGTAGACACGACGTCGTGTCCTGCCAACGGATTGGTGAAGAAGAAAACGTGGCTCGACTCCGAAGAGAATCCTTTTCCACTGACGCAAGTGTTGTCTGCACCGCTGGAGACGTTGACGTTGATGTTGCCGGTCGGGCTAGCTCGGCGCCTCTCACGGATGCTGAGATGCGAAGACGTCGTCAACCTGTCCTCCCAGATATGCATCTGTTTCCAGAGATGGTACTGGCAGTGAGAGTTTCCGTCTGGAACCCTCGTCGAAGATGCGTGCTTCGATTCCATGTGTCTTGGTGAGTGGTTGTCACGGGTGGGCGACCACTGCGGGGCGGTCTCTGACGTCGTTGATAACGTCGCCATACGTGCCAAATGGTGTGGACGTTAAATTGACGGGCGACGTCACGCTGCGAGGAACCGGATTTAAGCATTCATAAGGCTCGTCATTTTCACTGGCACAATGAAATCTCATCTAAGCAATCAAAAGTGGTTGTTTTCTGAACTCTCCACTTCCGAACGTGGTTTGGTGTGGAATTGATATGGGCCTGGCTTTCTTGCCTTATTCAGAGAGACCATTTGAAGCAATTTCTCCCGAACATTCATTATCTCTCGCAAAAAAATATGTATTATCACCGACAATTGGTTGGTTGCGTTTGTTCGAGATTGTTCATAAAGATTGTCCTTGGTACAAATCCAGAAATTCAAATAAAGGTTTTAAGTGAAAGAATTCCACGTCACCATACTTTTACCTGGGTGTAAAATTTTAAAATGATAAATTATGGCGCAATTCTGTTATGGTAATTTCGTTCCGGCTGAGTGAATATTTTTATATGTGATCCACTGTTATGGTCCCATTTCAGATATATAATTTGATGTGGGTAGTCTCAAAAGCAGCGCGTGAATTAATGTAAAAGATGCAATGACGATACAAATAATTGAACGAAAATCATGGGAAAACGAAATAAGCGATGGATTTATTTCGTGTTTGCATTAGTTGCCCAATACATACACATGCATATGTGTAGGGCTACCCCGTACACATGCGAGCGAATATGTGTGTTTAACGCGCTATAATTTGGGACACTACGTCAGCTATGATGTGGCGTTCCTGCCGTGAAAGAATGCGAACGGGGATCGCACCACCGACCTTCCGCTCTGCGGGCGGACGCTCCATCACAAGACCTCAGAGGTGTAATAATAATAGTAATAATAATAATAAAAATGATGATGATGATGATAATAATAATACTAATAACAATAACAATAATAATAATAATAATAATGACTGGGGTTTGTACCAACGACTAGTGTATCTCAGCAGCTAAGTAAAGGACACTGTTGTTTTTATGACATACATATCTGCAAGGACTTGACTTTTCTCGTAAGCTAATGGATCGGGTGGTCAGGCTCGGTGACTTTGATCGCATGTCATCGTACCTCCAGGCGTATATCGTTGCTCTGCATATCAATCACTAGTTTGTCTGGTCCAGACTCGATTATTTACAATTGGCCTTTACATAGCTGGAATATTTTGGAATGCAACGTTAAACAACAACAACAACAACAACAAACAACAACAACAACAACAAAAAATATTGATCTTTAGGCAACCTTACCTTGACCTCTTTGTACTGGTAGGTGAACCAGACGAGGAATGCGATAAAACACATGATGAGGCCAGATACTGCCAGCTCTATTGACCTCTGAATCCAGTTCAAGGTCAAAACGCACGGACTTGAATCAATGCATGTGTCACAGCCAGGGGCGCATTTTAAACACTTGAACGAGTCGTAAGTGTTGGGCTTGCTCTGTAAATATAGAAACAATTGTATCTAATTTCCATGCTTTCAGATTCACGTCACGTGCGACACAAGTGTCTCTCGGGGTATAAAGCAAAGGCCAAGGATCAAAATTGGGTCCAATCGGGGAATCGAATGTACGACCAACAGGAAAGGGACGCCACTCTGAATAGCATGTTGCGGCACCAATGATCACTTGACAACTCGTGACCAACCACGCTCAGTGGGAGACATTTACCTTGTTTCTATGAAAAACAGGCTCGGGTGCAACAACTTGCTTTGGTTCGATCAATGGTACACGTATCTGACATGTCGATGTCCAAGGGTGTTGTTTGTTTGTTTGTTTGTTGTTTAACGCCGCACTCAGTAATATTCCAGCTACAAGACGGCGGTCTGTAAATAATCGAGTCTGGACCAGACAATCCAGTGATTGGCATCATACCATCGATAAACGCAGATGACATGCATCAACCAAGTCAGCGAGCCTGACCACCCGATAGCGTTAGTCGCCTCTTACGACAAGCATAGTCGCCTTTTACATAGTCGCTCGAACGATCTGGTCCAGGCTCGAATATTCACTGACCGCCGTCATATAGCTTGAATATTGCTGAGTGCGGCGTTAAACAACAAAGAAACAAACAAACAAAAGTTGCCGTCTTGCATCATGAACATCGGTCTACGCAATTAGGATACGATGACATGCATCAACCAAGTCAGGAAGCCTGACCACCCGATCCCGTTAGTCGCCTCTTACGACAAGTATAGTGTGCCGAAGACCTATTCTAACCCGGATCTTTACGGGTACTGACACATGTAATACAAATTGACTTACTTTTCGTTTTCTTGCAAACTGTTCCTCTACTTCTTGTCCTTTGTAGAACTTGTCTTCAACCGATATATCGGGGAAATAATAACCATCTTTACAGAAGCACGAGTAGGAGCCACGACGGAAGCCACGCCCAGGAAGAGGTTCACACTGAAACACAAGCATTCGGTGTTACCAAGGAATCGGCAGAAAATCTGCAACTTGAGATGCTGATACATACTGAAAGTGTATATGTTTCTTTGATAGGCATTTAGAAGTTGGAGTACTAAGTTAGGAAAAGAATTTATGGATGAACAACTTCTTTATTACAATTAAGAGCAAGGCATTAAGAAGTTTTCCTTACTTTTCCTTACTTGGTACTAAAATGCCTACGTTCTTAATTGTAATAAAGAAGTTGTTCATCCATAAATTCTTTTCCTTACTTAGTACTCCAACTTCTAAATGCCTCGCTCTTAATTGTAATAAAGAAGTTGTTCATCCATAAATTCTTTTCCTTACTTAGTGTATATGTTATTTGATAATAATTTCAACAATTTGTTCACGAGGGACAGATAATCTGTCAATCAGAGTCGGTTATTAAAATAAGTGAGCACGTTTGGTTTTAGATCCGCTTTTAATGTTTGGTTCAACATCCGCAATTTTGTCTGACGGTTTTTAACCTGTGTGACTTTTATCAAAGTGATAGATGTTTTAAACGTATATAGACAATGTCACCCAGGACCATCTTTATCTCCGGGGGGCACGGGTGGCCCAGTCGTCTAAGGCCCCGCGATTCGCTGTGGTTGTTTTCAAACTACCCACACCTGCTGGTGACTAGTTCGTTACTTTTGTTTGGGGCTGGCGATGGTCCCCACCCACACCACCTAATGTACGGATCGCCTATTACCCAGATCATCTTCTACCGCTTGAGTGAATCAAAGCCCACATTTTGTGAAACTGATAAAGAACGAGCAATCCAGGACCGAGATGAAACGTGCCAAGCAGTGTGGTCCCCCTAGACAACCACCTAGAAAACGTAGCTATGCTGCAGTCGACCAGGGATGCTGAGGGCCAAGGACGGACTCATCGATGGCCGCTTATCTATCTTGGACTATACCGACCCAGTCACTCATCTTCTTGGCGTGTGGGATAGCTGAACTATAACTAGATGTATTATCAGTGTAAGATTGATAGTGTTCTATTTATAACAGTGTATGAAAGGGCTATTTGTAACAGTGTATGATTGTTTGTTTGTTGTTTAACGCAGCACTCTGCAATATTCTAGCTATATGACTATCTGTAAATAATCAAGTCTGGACCGGGCAATCCAGTGATTGACATCTTGAGCATCGATCCACGCAATCGGGATACGATGACATGCATCAACCAAGTCAACAAGCCTGACCACCCGATCCCGTTAGTCGCCTCTTACGAAAAGCATAGTCACCTCTTACGGCAAGTATGGGTTGCTGAAGACCTATTCTACACCGGATCTGCACGGGCCCCAAGGGTGTTAATACGTGTTCTGAGGCAATGGTGGGCGAGTCGTATTATTTACTACGATTGCTGGTTCGATTCCTACATTTGCTCTGATAATGTCTCTAAGTTTGTCAACACCATACCCGGGCTATATACACGAAAGATACCCGTAAACCTACGAAACTGAAAATTGTTAGTCGCCACTTACGACAAGTATAGTCGCCTTTTACGACAAGCATGGGTTGCTGAAGTCCTAGTCTACCCCGGATCTTCACGGGATGTAACAGTGTATGAAAGGACACATTGTTCATACAAATATATAAAATGAAAGCCACTCTCGATTTATTAGTTTGTGATTTTGGTAACTACTTCAAGAGTGGGATTTTCAATACCCATATGACCTTATTACCTGTATCCAGTCAAGCATAGTAAACCCACATCACCTAATTACTTTACCTATCTCTTACCAAAGAATTAGGAGAAGTGGGTGGACACCCTGGCGATAGGTTAACTGATGCGCTATAGACGATCGGGCCACCACATACATCCGTGCGTGCGACGGATCTGTAGAGTTGCGTCCCTTAGGTGTACGAGGAACCTATGACCATGGGTTGGAATGCCAGATTCGCCCTGATTATGTTTCTGGGTTTGCAGCATACCCATGCTGGTGGGTTTTATCAAAATGGTTAACGTCTAAGACCTGGATCACTTCGGGCTTTCCTCTCAATTCAAGGCCACACTCTGGGAAATAGTGAGTGAGTGAGTGAGTATGGTTTTACGCCGCTTTTAGCAATATTCCAGCAATATCACGGCAGGGGACACCAGAAATGGGCTTCACGCGTTGTACCCATGTCGGGAATCGAACCCGGGTCTTCGGCGTGACGAGTGAACGCTTTAACCACTAGGCTACCCGACCGCCCCCTCTGGGATAATAAGTGAAATATCGTTCAAAGTGGCGTTCCAACCCACTCACTAATAATGGACCTCTATAACCCATGAACAATGACTGAAGTTGTGACAAACTGACATCCCCTTTCCACAACATACCCTTGATGTCATACTGTCGGGTGTATACTGATAGTGGTCGAATTGTTATACTGGTTTGGTTTTATATGGACTCTTACACATGGTACATCACACCATATCACGTCCTACCCCGAGGGACCACAGCGAACGTATCTATCAGTCATAATTTTCGCCCACTGATCTAAAATGTCTTCATCAGTTTGGCGAGCGAACCGTTTCACTGACATCTTGAGAGCTCACACGCGACGTAAACAATCTAGAGTTATCGCCCTTGGATTACAATCGGATAGGCTCGGGTAGGTTCGCTAAACTGCATCTGATCGGTGTTCTGAATCGAGATAACATAATCATTATAACACCATTCGCAAGGGTTTGATGGCATTTCCCAGCGTGAAATTTGCACCTTTTCCGTCAGCTGTGACATGGTTACAATTGCCATCAGTAACAATCAGAAACGAGTATCTTAATGCAAGGTAAGACTATAGCTGATATCCGTCGGACATGACCGTCCTTAAAATACCAGTATAAGCCTTACCCACTTTCTCTTCAAAGTTGAACCAGCATTAAAGTCAGTTTCGTGACGTCTCATGGAACCCATTACCATATATTGTCATCAAACCAAATTCAGACACTTTAAGGGATTTTCCTTTATTATTCTCTAACCCATTAAGAGTAAATAGTTTAGGCACCAATGACAATGATCAAATGCTTTAATGACCAACTCCCTGTAGACAACGCTCTCACTGATTAGTACTGAACTCGGCAACGTTAGTTCAGATAAGCAGACACTTCCCCTGACTTGGCTATGTGTTGACCATACGGCCCCCTGTCACGAACGCCTCCCGTCTCGTCACGTCACTTGACCAGACCTCTCGTCACGTCACTAGACAAGGTCTTGGGTGGATTTAACAGGGGGACATAACTCAATTTCTTTGACAAGCCAGCGCCATATTTATAAAATAACCCCCTGAAGCGAGCTTTAACATTACCAGAATATCTCGTTTACTTACATTGTATTTCACATGGGAATGTTTCATGTGGACCGTTCATTGTCCGTGTACCCAGCATAATAGCATTGAAGTAATCGAATAACGTGAAGATCAACGGTATACAGGGGAGATAACCGCATTGGTTCTTCCTTTGTGCGGTGCATCATGGGACGTTTCCGAATCACCACGAAAGCATAATTCAATTTTTTGATGTTGTCGACTGTGTACATTTGCATAGTTAAAGTACTTATGTGTTGATTCGAGAGTATAAGATGAATTTAGATCTCGACAACGTCATTTCTTTCGTTGACGGCAGTAAGAAAACGATTTCGTTGAATAGTACGTCAGTGATTGTTGGACCAAAAGCAGAAAAAAACAATATTGTTATACATTTTAATATGAATTGCAGTGCGTGATTGATCTGATGAAATACAAATATAATCCAATATTAAACACAGCCCAGACAAATATTAAGCAGCTCAGACAGATATGAATAAGGCGTGTACGCTCTATGGAACATAATTCACTTGTAAACATCACAGATGTTTGGTAGTATACAGTAATATGTATCTAGTCAGACGTGGATGTCTGATTCTTTTTGTCGAGTGCTGATCAACAAGATGAGCTTCACACTAACGAGAACTACATCTGGACCTAACGCGAAAATGTCGACAGAAACTGCCGGGAAAAAGAAAGTACACTACCATCTTTGATGATGGCTAAAAAAAGAAATAAACAGGAAATAGTTATTCGACGGTGATGTATTTGACTGTTTTCATTCTTGTAACGTTTAATGATGTTTTTTTCATTTTTTGGGTCAAATCCAAGTATATACGTTCCGACTGCTGAGTTTTGAAACCTTCTGAAATACAGATGGTAATGTTGGCAGCCATCGTTACAGGCCTTGCTTTTTTGTACATTTTTTACATGAGAAATGTTTTTTGTTTGTTTGTTGTTTAACGGCGCACTGTGCAATATTCCAGCTATATGACGCCGGTCTGTAAATAATCGAGTCTGGACCAGACAATCCAGTGATTTATATCATGAACATGGCTCCACGCAACTGGGATACGATGACCTGCATCAACCAAGTCAGCGAGCCTGACCATCTGATCCCGTTACTCGCCTCTTACAGCACACTGGTCGGGGATGCAAGACTATGATTGAAGCAGAGGAATTGGGGAAAAATCCGAAAACTGCAATGCAAACGCACATTTTCTATTAACAAAACCATAGTTAACTTTCTCAGCATATATAGATCTACATAAAACTTTCTTTGGTTATTGTTATTTATTTATATATTTTAATAAATACTGTAAAATTCACTTTTTCTCTTCGCAATTTGTTAACGAGTTGTAAAAGTTAAACTCAATAACCTATTCTGAGTAATCAAAGAATAATAATCTATCAATACAAAACTCTGATATCTGATACCATGCACGAGTTGACTGCCTACTGATATATATTGTACGAGCGCTTCCAGCTAACGCTGATTTTACTCTGCGTGCACAGAGAGTTGAGGATAATTTGTTCCCCTTTCCAAAAGCTCTGTAGCTTTAATTATTTATTGTAGATGCTTTGGAGTCACGGGTGGCCCACGCCTCCATGGCGTAACAACTCGCTGTGCGAAGATACTTCATTTAGACGTGCCATGGTCCAGTGATCGGGTTCGAACCC